CAAGGCTTGGAGTCAGATACACTAGTACCCAAGAAAGATCTGATAAAGAGATTAAGAAATCATTATCACCTGTGAATTGACAGGTTGGTTGTATTTAAAGTGAAACCCAGACAAATCAAGCGATATTTGCCCTTTTCCACTTATCTCAAATTGATAAGAAGCTAAACTCCACAATGAAAGGAATTGCAGGAATGAGCAACAACAGGTAAGGAGAGGATTCTTTGGAGGGGAGATATTGAATGTTGAATGCAAACTTGATCTCCTCTTGTGAGCCTTGAGGGACATCTGCAGGTAAACTCTGCTGGGTGCAGTAGGACCCAAAGAGACCCAGCAATGATCTTCTCACTCTAGGTCCCCAAGCTACCTCATCACCCTTAGAGACTCCTTGAGAGAGCTACTGCACGGGTCCTTGGAACTTCCAGGTTTGGAAGAACCTGTTTTCCTTCAATAGCATTTTCTTCAGCTCCTACTTCCTAGTACTTGGAAAAGTAAGTAATCAATTAATATTCAATGACCAGTTTAGGCAAGTGAACATATTTTAATAGTATAAAAATAATTTTACTGATTGGGTTATTTGTTTTTTTGGTGCTTAGCTTTTTGAGTTCTTTATATACCCTAGAGATTATTGCTCTATCTGATGTGTGAGGGCTAAAAATTTGCTCCCAAGATGTAGGCTCTCTATTCACCTCAGATACTTCTCAGAAGATGATATATAATCAATCAACAAATATATGAAAAAATGTTCATCATCGCTAGCAATTAGAGAAATGCAAATTAAAACTAAGATTTCATCTTACTCCAGTCAGAATGGTAGCTATTATGAATACAAATAACAATAAGTGTTGGCGAGAATGTGGGGAAAAAGGCACACTCATACATTGCTGATGGGACTTACAAATTGGTGCAGCCAATATGGAAAGCAGTATGGAGGTTTCTTGGAAAATTGGGAATGGAAACACCATTTCACCCAGCTATCCCTCTCCTCTGTCTATTCCCAAAGGACTTAAAAACAGCATACTACTGGGACACAGCCACATGAACTTTTATAGCAGCACAATTCACAATAGCTAAACTGTGGAACCAACTAGATGCCCTTCAATAGATGAATAGATTAAAAAAATGTGGTATATATACACAATGGAATATTACTTAGCAATAAAAGAGAATAACATCATGGCATTTGCAGGTAAATGGATGAAGTTAGAGAAGATAATGCTCAGCTGAATGTTTTCTCTGATATAAGGAGGCTGATTCATAGTGGGGTAGGGAGGGAGAGCGTAGAAGGAACTGACAAACTTTAGATAGGGCAGAGGGGTGGGAAAGAAAGGGAGGGAGTATTGGGTTTGAAATGATGATGGAATGTGATAGACATAATTATCCAAAGTACATTATGTATGAAGACACGAATTGGTATGAATATACTGTGTATGCAACCAGAGATATGAAAAATTGTGCTCTATATATGTAATAAGAATTATAATGCATTCTGCTGTCATATATAAATAAAAAATAAAAATAAAAATAATTTTACATTAGAATATATTCCTGTACTGCCTGTATTATTTCTGTATTCATTTGCAAGACATTTGCCAATAAAAAAGGAGTTTCTCTACAGTACATCCACTTTGTTAATAGACACTTTTTTTTTTTTTAAGTTTGGGGAGACAACTAGAATTTGGTGACTGCAAGAATCTTCTAGCTACTGACTAATTATATGTGCCCACTGTTCATTAATGCAATTCCTTTTATATGCTGACATTAGAGTCTGGCAAGTCTTTTTCACTCAGTTGATTTAATGTTAGAGAAAATAGCAAAAGAGATTAAAGGTGACAACTTCTGACCCCAAGATATGTTTAAGATCCAGAAGCAGATGTGCTATGACACTGGTAGGTATACTATATGTCCTTAAAATTCAACAAATACATTTCAATTTGATTCAGATAATACTTTTTGGGTCCTCTTACTTGCTAGGCTTGCTGGAAATATTGGCTTTGTTTGGAAATGTAATCTGGGAAATCTATTTGCTGGATGGTGAACAAATGAAGGTCCTGATACTTAGACCACCTTTACATTTCTTTGGATCATGTGGTGTTGAAGAGTGGCTCCCTGGATAGCTGTTATCACTACCTTGCACTTATAAAATGCAGTTTATGTCTACTGTTGCTTATGCTTTGTGCTGATTGAGCTAATAAAAAATAAACACAGAGAGGAAATTAAATTGTCAATAGGATCCCTGCAAGAAGAAGTATGGGCAATATCTGAGGCTGCTGTTTTTTCTTTAATACAGAGCAGTGTCAAGGGAAAAAAGAACTCCTTTGACACATATTTATGTTCATTTTTAGTTGCAAATATGGTTATAATTATGGTTATGTTTCTGTTCTCCCAGACACCTCTCAGGGAGATGACAATGTATTTTTCATAATGTTAGAGCAGCTGATGCCATGATTTAGCAAAATGATTTTCTCAGGGCACTGAGACCCATGATTGCATGAATGGGTAATGGAACTGTTGATTTTTCTAAAATTGGCCCTTCCCTTCCGACGGGTATGTTTTAGAATGGTTGTTATCTGGGAAAGACCTATTCATTACATGAAAGAGTGAGGTCATTGGAATAACTCCACCCTTCCTATACTTACAATGCTGAGACCTTTTATACCAATGTCAGCTGCCAAAACCAGGCGAGGGGTGGAGTTCACCAACCACACTTGAACCAAGAGGCTTGTCTTGAAAGAAGTGATTCCCAGGTACAGGGAGCTGAAGACTACGTGTGGAAGATTGACTTGCATAAGAAAAACTGCAGAATCAAACAATTTTTGAATTAATGAGAATGTAAGTAGTCACCTAAACCACCTGATTTTGTGCCAGTGGAGCAAAACTTCAAAAGTTCTATGACTTTTGCAAGGTGTGTTGGTGCACCTATGTAATTCCAGTTAGTTAGTCAGGAGGCTGAGGCAAGAGAACTGAAAGACTGAGGCCAGGCCGGGAAATTTATCAAAACCTTATCTCAGAATAAAGTTTAAAAAGTACTGGGAACATAGCTCAGTGGCAGAGCACCTGCCTTATATGTGTGAGGCTCTGGGCTCAGTTATCAGTACCACAAAAACAAAACAAAACAAAAATTGTTCTATGACACTTTTGTTGTTGGGTTAAGCTAATGCTCAGCAATGGAGAAAGTAGCAGTATTTAAAGACATTAAGGATTAAGTGCAATAAGCATTAGTTTACCTGATACAGCAGTTTTTAATTTTGGCTCAGATTATATAAACAGATGCTTCTACCACTTCTATTCTCTAAATCCTGCTATTTATATACCTAGAAGATTCTTTTCATTTTCTTCTTCTTTCTCTTCCTCCTCCTCCTTCTGCTTGGTACTTATGATTTCTAATGCAGCTCCAGGGCATAAACAGTTTTTGGCATGTAGTGAGTTATCAACACTGTTTTTGAATGAATTAATTACTGAAAGCCAACTCCTTCTTTGTGCTAGGCATTTGAAGGCAATCAAGATGAATCCCCTAGAATTTTCATTACCAATGAAGCTACAGGTTGACAGAAGAAATATACTATACCTGCATAAATTACAATTATACAAAGTAGAAAGTAAGGGCCATAACAACTTGGCTTCATGCTGATTGGAACATTTATTATGTATTTTGTGCTCTATATGTAGTTTATTTATCACTAGAACCTCTCCAAAATGGTAGGAATTATTATCCTCATTTTCATAACCAGGTGCAGTGGTGCATGCCTATAATCTCTGCAAATCAGGAGACTGAGGCAGGTTGATCTCAAGTTCAAGTCCAGTCTTAACAAGTAAGACTCTGTCTCAAACTAAAAAGTAATAAGTGAAAAGATGTAGCTCTGTGATAAAGCACCCCTGGTTCAATCTCTAGTTAATAATAATAATAGCAGGTAAATCGAGGCCATGTACTTGCCCTAAACTCAAAAGCTAGATTGGAAGAAACAAGATTATATCAGTCATTTTCTAAAGATACTATGCCACCTTTTATGAATTTCTCCGAAGCAAAGGAATAATAACAGTATTAACAGCTAATGCTTATAGCACTTATAGTTTATACATATCAACTGATTTAACTTTCACAAGAAACCAAATAGATAGATAATGTTATTATCCCTATTTTATAGATAAGAAACAAAACAAAACAAACCAGCCTGTCTTTGTGAAAGAGAAGCATTTGCAGTAAATTTTAAAATATAAGTAGGATCTGAGTGTTTAGAGATGAAATATGCGTGAGGAACTATGAAGGGTCTGAGAATCTTACCAACTTGAAAGCTAACAAGTTAGCTTGCTCTAGCTTCATGGATGCAGGAGAAAACATGAGACTCCAGGTTCAGAGACAAAGAATAGTTTTTAATGCACTAAAAACATTTGAAAATGTTGATTCCATGAGTCCTAATTTCCACAGAGTAATATAAAGAAGTCCAGATGATATCTGCATTTGCAGTGGATTGCGTTAGAGAAGAGAAACATTGGGTTTAGGGGACTTGAAGCTTTTATAATGGGTAGTAAGTGGGTTTGTTTTTGAGGAGGACATTTCTAATCATCAAAGACTGCTTGTTCTTCAAATATCTTTGAGAAGATAGTCCAGAACAAAGAGTGGTTAAGTGCCCATGGTTACAAAACATGCAGAAACATGGAAAAAAATTGCAAAGAATTGTTTCCCAATAACAGGTTAGGGGAAAAAACAATTCCTGGAAGAATAAACAACTACGCAAAGAGCAGAAGGAGAAAAATGTGGGGTACATATGGCAAGTAGTAGGCAGAAGCATGTCTTGAAGAAAGAAGTAGTTCGAAATGCAACTGGAAAACAATTGAAGCCAGACAAAGAAGCATTTAAGCAACTTTAAAAAAGTTTAAAAACACTTTCTCTTTTTGGACTCATCTTACTGCTAAATAATGCCAAAGGATTCATTCTTTTATTGGGACATCCAAGTTCCAGTTCATGGAACAGGAATTCCTTCCAAAGATACTTCCAGGCGCTGCCCAGACTAGCGAACAATACAGTCAGGATGGCTAAAGGTGACCCCAAGAAACCAAAGGGCAAGATGTCTGCTTATGCCTTCTTTGTGCAGACTTGCAGAGAAGAACATAAGAAGAAAAATCCAGAAGTCCCTGTCAATTTTGCAGAATTTTCCAAGAAGTGCTCTGAGAGGTGGAAGACAATGTCTGGGAAAGAGAAATCTAAATTTGATGAAATGGCAAAGGCAGATAAAGTACCCTATGATTGGGAAATGAAGGACTATGGACCAGCTAAGGGAGGCAAGAAGAAAAAGGACCCTAATGCCCCCAAAAGACCACCGTCTGGATTCTTCTTGTTCTGTTCAGAATTCCGCCCCAAGATCAAGTCCACAAATCCTGGTATCTCCATTGGAGATGTGGCAAAAAAGCTGGGTGAGATGTGGAATAACTTAAGTGACAGTGAAAAGCAGCCATACATCACTAAGGCTGCAAAGCTGAAGGAGAAATACGAGAAGGATGTTGCTGACTATAAGTCTAAAGGAAAGTTTGATGGCACAAAGGGTCCTGCTAAAGTTGCCCAGAAAAAAGTGGAAGAGGAAGACGAAGAAGAGGAGGAAGAAGAAGAGGAGGAGGAGGAGGAGGAGGATGAATAAAAAAACTGTTTATCCGTCTTCTTGTGAATACCTTAGAGTAGGGGAGCGCCATGATTGACACATCTTATTTGAGATGTGTCTGTTACTCTCATTAGGTTTAATTTCAGAATTTGATCACGATCATATTGTAGTCTCTCAAAATGCTCTAGAAATTGTCAGTGGTTTACATGAAGTGGCCCTGGGTGTCCAGAGCACCCTAAAACTGTATCAAAGTTGTACATATTTCCAAACATTTTTAAAATGAAAAGGCACTCTCGTGTTCTCCTCACTCTGTGCACTTTGCTGTTGGTGTGACAAGACATTTGAAGATGTTTCTGGCATTTTTTTTTAATTTGTAAGGTGGTGTTAACTATATGGTTATTGGCTAGAAATCCTCAGTTATCAACTGTACATATCTATAGTCTGTAAAAAGAACAAAACAACCGAGACAAACTCTTGATGCTCCTTGCTTGGCGTTGAGGTTGTGGGGGGAAGATGCCTTTTGGAGGGGCCGTAGCTCAGGGCGTGCACTGTGAGGCTGGACCTGTTGACACTGCGGTGGGCATCCATTTAGCTTCAGGTTGTCTTGTTTTTGTATATAGTGATATAGCATTCTGCTGCCTTTCTTAGTTGTGGAAAAAGGGGGGTCAGCTGGCATGAGAAGTGTTTGAATTTTTTTTTTAGTTAAGTACGGTAGATTTTAAACTTTGTTTTCAAACAAACTGTAGAACTCTTCATTGTCAGCAAAGCAAAGAGCTACTGCATCAATGAAAGTTCAAGAACCTTCTGTACTTAAATGCAATTTGCGACGTTATGTTATATTTTGTATGTTTAGAATGCTGAAATGTTTTTGAAGTTAAATAAACAGTATTACATTTAAAAAAAAAAGATACTTCCAAAGATACTCTTTAGGAAAAGCTTGTTTCCTCCTTTTGAGACAGGAGACTGCTTCATAGGATTTGAGACTATCTTCCCCTTGTTGTAAGAGTCAGTAATCTAATGATGGTCACTTTTACTGGATGAGAGGGAGACGGTGAAAAATTAAAGTGAGTCTTTGTGGATTATAAATCCAAGTTTGCTTGCTTTTATGCCTGGGTATGGGTGCCAAATGTTCTAGCACTACCAATTTTCTATTGCCAGAATGCCATTTGCAGATGGTAGCAGTGAAGATGTCCAGCCCTATTTTCCTTGCATACATCTTTTGTTTCTCCATGATTATTCCCAAATCTGAAATCAGTCAGGAGAACAATGGTCTACTTACTTGTCATTCTGGCACTTGGAAGAAACTATTCAGACAAAAAGTATTTCTACTTGCAAATAAATTACTTCAAGTTAATTCTATGTTACCCCCAAACTGAGTTAAACTCCTATTAGTACTAATTTTAACATTCTTTTTATCAGATTAAGGGACAAAATGAAAGGAGGAAGGGAATATTTTCAAAATTCTAGTTAGGTTTTATGCATATTTAGTTATAATACCTGTATTAGTCCTGGAGCCTGGTAGTCCAAGATAGAGGTATCAGTGGGATTCTGATTGAGGGCTCTCTCCTTGAGCTATAGACAGCTACCTTCTTAGTGCTTTTGTGTGCTTTCCGTGGGAGTTGGGGACAGTGTAATAATGAACACATACCAGCTGTTTAATTTCTGTCCTTGTGAGGACACCTGTCCTACTGGATCAGGGCCTAACCCTCATGATCTTATTTTACCTTAAAAATCTCCTAAAAACCTTATCTCCAAATACAACCACATGTCATATTCACAATTAGGGCTTCAACTCATGAGTTTTGGGGTTGCATGATTTAGACCATAGCAATTAAATTTAATCCTCACCTCAACTAACTGTAAAAGGTTTTGATCCCCATTATAGAAATGTGGAAACTGGTTCGGAGAAGTTCAAGGAGCTGTGCAAAGTCATAAGTGAAAGAGCCAAGACTGAAACCAGCTTTCTGGATTTGAAGCCCATTTTGTTTTAAGTATCACAGGCTGCCTTGAAGTGGCCACTGGAATCTCTCCTACATAGCGTTACTGACCTTGTTAAGGACTTTGCAATATTGTTTTTTAGACTGTGCAACAACAAAGACAGATACTTTACATATGTTTCACAAATAAAAATATGTGACACAGAGAATTTAAATTGATTTGCCACAAAGCACAGTTAGAAAGTAGAGTGGCCCAAAATATGGTTAATCTTATTCCAAAGCCAATGTTTTTGTTCCATTTCTCTATCATGTGTTCTTGGGGTTGGTCAGTTACTCACTAATCAATAGGTGAATTGAAATGCATTGTAAATCAGTATTCTTCAGACTTTTATAAGTGAATCAAAAGGCATTATAAATAAGTATTCTTCAAACTTTCTGAAACCATGGAAATTTGTTGAAATGGAAAAAAAAAATTCACAGAACACTTGATCAAGCTGTAAAATTTTAATATATGTAAAAGCAAATGACATCAAAATCAAATTTATATTGGTTGGTGTCTGAACTTCCATGTTAAAGGGAGAACTGTATGAATTCTAATCAGATAGAATAAATATTAAATTGGTATTGGGGCTGCAGGCTATGAGAGTTTCAGTAAAATGCCTTGTTTCAAAATTGGGTCTGATGCAGCTAAAGTTAAGTTTTCTACCCAAAGGTGGCAGCACATGTACTATTGCTTTTTGTTGTGCTGATGATTGCATTTAACATAGTAGAGTCTTTGAGAGCCTCAAGGGATCATAAAGACCATCTAGGAAAATCACATCTCTTTGAAGAAAACAGGCCATGAAGATTCCATGACCTGCTCAATATCGCACAGATTTTTAGAACTCCAGCCAAACCAGAGTCCCAGCAGCCTGTCAGACCTGCATCCACAATACCAAGTTCTTCTCAATTTGGTAACATATTCACAGCAAATGGAAGAAGATGAGAGAGTAAATTTGAAAAAGGAAAAGAACAACAGGGAGAAAATAAAAAAAGAAAGGAAAATCAATCCTTGATGTAAGCTCACCATTTTGAAGCATGCTATATCTTCACAGAAACTTCAGAAGCTTAGTTCCACTTGCATAATAGATGCCATCTTCTAGGGAACAGTCTGGAGCCCCTTTCTATAGCAACACAGAATCTATTTTGACCAGACAATCCAAGTCATCACCTCCTGGGACCTCATTAAAAATATGGAGTTTCAGCCATCTTTCCTCTAGAATTGCTAAATCAGAATCTGCATTTTAAAAGAGTCCAAGGAGGTGTTATTGGCCTATTAAAGTTGGAGAAGCTCAGATGTAGAGTCTTCAGTCTAGACTACAACTTGGTTTTCACAGCATGGTCACCTGGGAACTTGTTAGAAATGCAGACCCACCAACTGAATTAAAGGCTCTGTTGGGGTCCAGTGACCTTTTGATTATGGACCCTCTAAGTGATTCATATTTTGACAAAGTTTGAAAAGCACTACGTGGCGATTTTCTGACTCCTTTGTCCTTGGAAGTCATAAGTCTCGTAGGTCTCTGATGACTATATTTGCAGGACTTGCTCTCAATTGTTTTCTTTCTGATGTCATCTCCCCACTTTCTCATCTTCTTGAACAGTTTATGGCAGATCTGGTTAGAAGGCTTGGCTTCTATTTGCTGACTTAATTTTGTATTGAATATAAGTATTGTGTGTGTGTGTGTGCGCGTGTGTGCGCACACACACTCGCACATGCACACATAGATAACCTGATAAACCAATTTGCTGGTTATGGCACCATAAGGAACCATTATTAGTTAGGGAGGATAACAGTGCCTGGAATGAGATAATACAAACTTTTAGAATTTGCCAAGGAGGAGGTTGGGATGAGATTTGTTATTCATTTGTTCTAGCTCAAGTCCTGTTTCCACACACCGAGATGGACACATGGGGCCTTTTGTATAACCAATGAAACCAATGGAACAATAAAATGTCATAAACCTTTTATAATAAAATATTGAACTGGGGTAAATTTACAGAAGCACATGAAAGAATATACCAATAGCTACTCCAGAACAGAGGGATCTTGAGTTTGAGATACTACTAAGGGAAATCTGGGCCTTCACAATTTTGCTATTCTGAAAATATATTTTGGAGCAGTGGTAGTATCATCCTAGACAATGGGCCCACAAAGTTTAAATTATGTAAACTGTACCTATGTAACAGAACCATAGTGTTACTCCTGGAATTTTATGAAGCAGTAGTCTTCAAATACCAGCTTTGAAGGGCTTAAAAAAACAGCTTAGTGGTAAAGAAGATGGATATAAGGCAAAGTTTTTAATTTATTTGATCACTGGGTGTAATATAAAGACCCAAATTTGATCCCAACTATTCAACTTTTTCAAAAAGTATATAATCACTCAGAATATATTACTTAATTTCTTTTTTCCTTCTTCTGTGAAATGGAGCTATAATTGTCCTGCCTGCCTCATCAAGATTTGATAGAATCAAATGTACAAGAATTTTGTAAATATGTGTTTCCATATTTGTACATGTAAAAGATACCAAGAAAGATTCCTGGTATTATAAGAATTATCATTAAGTATTATTTCCTGGACCAGGGAATTTTCAGAGCTTCTTTCCCTTTTCTTTTCAAGACTAAGAGGTGCTGTGGTTTTGCAGTCTAAACTACAGCAGAGGTCAGCAAGTTTTTCTGTAAAGTGCCAGATAGTAAATATTTTTGGCTTTGTAAGCCATCTGATTGCAACTATTCAGCTCTGTTATTGCGGCTGGAAAGCAGCTATCGACCCTTTATAAACAAATAGGCATGACTGTGTTTCTGCAAAACTTTACTTACAAAAACTGGCAGCAGGCACAATTTGACCTTAAGGTTTATCTACTCCTGACCTAGAGTATTAGCTTTAATTCATATCCTTCTGACAAGTCTCTGCAGTACTTGGGAGTCTAGAAACAAATGAGAGAAAAAGTAGAGATATTTCTTTTTAAATTTTGTTCTAATTAGTTATACATGACAGTAGAAAGCATTTTGACACATCTTACATAAATGGAGTATCATATCACTTCCCTTGTGGTGGTTATAGTTTAAAGAATGGCTGAGGCCCCACTGAGGAGAATATGTGAATTGGTCTTAGAAAGGGCATCATTTTGGAAAATAAGTGCTAATGAAAATACGTAAGTTTTGAGCACTTGTTTTTTCTGACTGTGCTGTGTTTTCACACTAGAGAGAGACACGGTTTTCCTACCTCAGGGGCTCGATACCTACTTGGATTGATCAAGCCACCAAACCAAATATGAAGAATAAAAATAAGGACTCAATTGAGTGTAGGACTTGACAGTCATTCCATAGGAA